TTTGATTATTATATGCCTGGGTGTAGCTCTGTTTGGGTTGTAGGTGGCTGGGGTCCTGTATGCTTCATACATCTGAATATTTTTACCTTTTACTAAATTAGGAAAATTCGCCTGGATTATTTCTGCAAGTAGCTTTTGTAGTTCATTTGTTTGTATCCCTACCTCTTCTTTTATGTTCTTTATTCTTAAGTTATAGATCCTCTCATCATCTTCTAGTCTTTATATTATTGCTGTTTCTTTGTTATTTTTAAGAAGTGTTTGATTTCATGCTCCCATATTATAAATCTGCCCTCCAGTTCAGATAATCTATCCTTAGTTTCTTTCAAGCTGTTAAGCCAGTTTTTGATAGAGTTTTTAATTTCCTGGTAATCTCTTTGAACCTGCCTCACGTATTCTATGTTTTCTCTATTTTCTCCATCAAACAATTCTGCCCTTTTTTTCTGTTCACCCATTCCACCATCTGTTTTTTCTTGGGTAGTGCTTAGCATTTCTCTAATTATTCTGCTTATGTATTGCTTCAGGTCATTAATAACTTCATTCCTGAACTCATCTATGAGGCTCTGGAGATAGCGCTTTATGTCTATTGGTGCTGTGTCTGCTATTGCCTGTTTCTCAGGATTGGGGGCCAAGGAGCCTTTCTTATTGCTCCCTCTTCCCATATTCTTTGTTCCTTATATACAAGCATATATAGGAGGCCCAGCTTCCTTCCCTGTCAGCCACAGTCTGTTTGAATTGCGCCGGATAGGAGTTTCCGCCCACGGCAGCGCACCAGGGAGTTACGGACTGGACAGCCTATGCAGGGCCCACCCCTCCAAGTCAACCTACTGAAGGCTTCACTGCTAGGGTGCACCTCCAGGCACTGGGACCTGGGTTGTGCTAGCCTACTGGGTCTCAGCCTGCAGCATCACGTAGGCTAGGCACTGCTCACCAATCCCGCTTGAGAGGGGGATATGTGACTGAGGTCACTACAGTGCCCTGTTCCGGCAAGTCTGCCTGGTCCCAGAATGTCCTCTGTTGGAGCCTCCTAGACCATGAAAGTGTCCCAGTTTCCCTCACTCACCGCAGGTCGATTCATAGCTCCCTGCCCGTCCCACTCTCAACTCCGTTCACCGTTTCCCGTTCTCAGAGCTTTTGCGCGTCTCTCTCCCTGCCAAGCTGATTCAGATGCAGCAGCGGTGGCAGGAAACCCAAATTGCGTCTTCCAATGGTGTGGGCTCCAGCTTCCACACTAAGGCTTCATATGTTCCTGTTATAGCACCAGGATTGCATTCCCAGTTGGTTTCTCTCAGCCCAGTTCGTTCTTGGCTCAGCAGGGTATATCTCCTCTTGCTTGGGATCCCTCACTCCGCACCATTCCTGGATTCTAAGCTGGATCTCTCAAAGAGCCTCGGTAGCTGCTGCTATCTGTCCACCATGTTTTTCCGGAAGTCAGTTGCTCGTATTTCTAACACACTCAGCTGCAATTGATGCCATGACACCGGAAGAGCAATTATGTGCATTTTTAAAGCACAGGAATTTCTTCTGCATAAATTTCCTAAACAAAACTAAACCTGTATTTAAGTTTCCATTTCCAATACAACTTTTGGTTGTAAAGATTTTTCAAACATATAAAAATGCTAGAATATTGATGTTATAAACACTCAGCCTATATCTAGATTTAAGACTTAAAAGTTGGCCACATTTTCTTTTTCTCTCTGTATATCCTTACTGAACTTTTGAAAGTAGATTCTTTTAACATTAAAATATTTCAGCATGCATTTTCAATGAACAAGCAAGTATTACTATAAAACCATAGGAACATGTTTACATCTTTACAAAGCTCAGTGTAATTTTATATCATCGAGCCTACACACAAATTTTCTCAAATGTCACTGAAAGTCTTTCATAGATGAGTCATTCAAATCTGGATACAATCAAAGTTCATACAGTGCATTTGTTTGTTTCTTTCATCTTAAAATAAAACAGAAGCCTTACATGTTTTTGATAAGTTGAAGCTAGTTGTCTTATAGAATACCAAATATTCTCTATTTTTCTATACCTTTTATCTTTTGTATACTTGATGAGCTTAATTTGAATCAGATCCAACATTTTTGGCAAAAGCATTCGAGGTTATGCTGTGCACTTCTTACTGTATTAAATTGGATGCAATATAAAGTCACTTCATCAATTATTTAAGGTAGTGTCTATCTCTTGCATTGCTTTATTGCAAAAGAACTATTTCATTTCATTTTAATTAGTAAGAAATCTGCAACACAATGAAATTATGTGAATACCCTGTTTATCAATACTCTTTTACCTAATGATTTCGATGACTGCCTAAAATGGGGGAGGTGTGACATTTCAGACTAGAGATAATTCTATCATTGTTCATACATTGATTAACTGTTGTTTTCTGTAATAAAGAGTTTTCCTTCCTTTACAAAACCCCATGTAGTTTTCTTTATTCAATGCATCAAGCAGTTGGTTCTGGTATCCTTTTAAATATAATCCTATTTAGTATTTCTGCTCTTCCCTGTTATGCGACCGTATTTATTCAAGAGTCGCCTTATATATTTTGTTGTCACACCTGACACAAGCCATTTCTTAAAGCATCCCTTTGAATAGGGAGTGCTATTTAGAAACAAGTACTGGGCACTAGATATATTCATTGCTGTTTGGGTAAAGTCATTTCAACACAGGTTTAGTGAATAGAAGATTTTGTTTCTTGTTTTATTTTAAAATCATGAATATTAACATTCTCAATTTAACTTTCATGTTATATAAAATTTCTTTGCATCTTTAATTTTGCACCCATATATTTTTTTGTATCACAATTCTTGGTTCTGATAACATTAATGTATTTACTTTTTTGTTCTGTCCTTGTGAGATGTGCATCTGCATGCATTTTAAATGATAATTATATCACTACTAATAAACATACTGAATTACACTTATAAGTTTTTGCAACTCTTCTTGTTTCTAAAGTATATCATATGGGGCCAGGAATTTAGCTCAGCAGCATAAGCTCCTGCCTGGCAAGCATGAGATCATGAGTTTGACCCCCCATACCCCCCCCCAAAAAAAGTATATCATATTAAGCATGAGTTAGAGAATATGGTTGACAAATTAGCTGAAATAATTGCTTTTTTGTGTCATTATTATATCAAATTTATAAAGATGTAGATTCATTTGCTCTTTTAGTATTCAATTTTAAGATTATAATTTTTGGAAATTACATTATTAATTTCATCTAAAAGTTAAAATTATTTAGTAGGAAATATTAGTGGATCCTAGCTCTTATCCTTATCTTCACCACATTATTTAACACTTATCCCTCTGTAGACATTCTCAATAGTTCATTTTTATAACTTTATTGTGATATATTTCACATGTTATAAACTCAGTTTTTAAAAGGGTAATTAACATTTTTATACATTCACATAATGATGCAGTCAAGAAGTTATCATTACTCCAAAAAATCATTCCACATCTATTATCAGTCACACTCTATTCCTTTTCATACCACTACTTTCTGGTCCTTGTCAACAACTAATTTACTTTCTGACCCATCAGATTTAGCATTTCATAGAAACAGAATCATATATGGAGTTCTACATCTGATTTCTTTTACTCAGCATGTCTTCCAGGTTCATCTATAGGATAGCATGTAACAAGACTTCATTCCTTTTAATGGCCAAATAATATGCCTCTGTATTGTTTTGTTTTTCCATTCATCTACTGATGCACATTTATTTCTACTTTTGGATAACTATGAATAATGCTGTCATGAACATTTGTATCCAAGTCTTTATATGGGCATTTGTTTTTATTTATTTTGAGTATATACTTAGTAATACAATTTCTGGGTAATGTGATATCTGCATTTAAGCTTTGGTGTCACAAGTATTTTTAAAATTTACCTTGCTGGACCTCATTTGAAAAATACAATACAATAAATCATAAGGCTTTAAAAAATTTACCTGACTGAATTTCATTTGAGGAGAATAATACTGAATTTCATTTGAGGAGAATAATAATGTGAATATTCTTCATTTCCTCACAAAAAAGTGAGCATTACATATCCTGATTTAAACCATGGGTTTTTTTTATTGATTTTTGTTTTTTATCCTGAAATTTGTAATGCACTCTAGAAACTGCTCCAAAAATAAATTCAAGGATATCTTTCTGATACAGTTTTGTTATGGTTACATAACACATAGCTGAATAAATCTTTACTTCATAATTCTACACAGTTGGAATTGATATTATTTCCAATCTTTTCTTATTAAAAGTATGCTGCAATTACAAACCTTATGCGTATTTGTACAGGTATATCTTTACACTTGACACCTAAAAGTGGGACTGCTATACAAAGGTTTGCTAGCTCCCAGCAAGAGTGCTTTCTGCCTGTTTTTGAGCCAGGTAAATTTATCTTTATTTATAACACTGAATCCTCTGGCTAGGAAACAGCCCTGTGGAGCATATGTGCCCCTTCTACACATCTATCTGAGAGCCCATTACCTACTCTCTGCAAAGTTGCTATTACTACCTGCCACAAAAGAGTAAGACAATGACAGGAATCCCAACAATTCCAACTTCTTGAGATTTTCTTGTGCTATACACTGCTTTCAGGTTCTTTATAATCCCCATTAACAATCCTGCAATTTTAGATTTACTGTTCTCATTGCAAAGATGACCAAATAGGTTCAGAATGAATTGCCTATGATTATATAGCTAAAGGAGCTGTAGAGTTACACTCAAATCCAGTTTTGTCAAATAGCAAAGTCTGTACCGTGTACTCTAGTGTTACCCTCTGATAGACAAGTCAGCTGTGTGATGACTGAGAGAATACATACAACGGTCAGGGCAAATTCACTTTCTACTGAGTAGTTAGCCTGTCCAGGCAGCAGCTGGGAGTAAGCACTACACAAACTGGGACTTATGAGCAGTTTCTCTGCAGCCCAGTCATGTGGACCACTATATTGATAGGAACTCTTTCTGAAAACTCAATAGTTACTTACTTGACCAAGTGTCTTATCAAAAGTTCCAGCATCTCACGGTTCTTTTCTGGTAGCTTATATACAAGGGAATGAATGGCTCCAAGCCGATAATCCAGGTTGTCTGATTCTGTCAAAGGAAATAGTGTGAGAAATGGTTTGGCTTTCTGGACAAATGTACTGAGAAAACTTTCCTATGCATGCACACCCACATAAACAGAACAGAGGCAAAGATGCAGAAAAGGACAACCAGAGAGAGAGTCAAAGACAAAGACAGACAGACAGATAGGTAAGGACAGAGAGAGGAATAGAAAAAAAGCTATGGAGAAAGACAGAAAGAAAGTTAGAGGAGGGCAAGATAGAAGCTAGGAGAGAACACCAGACTATCTCAGAGGAAGACAGAATTTTAGTCATAGCATGTTACTCCTAAAGTCCCACACATAAACTTCCAGTTGGAAACCCTTTCCTATCTACCTTTTCTTGGGGTACCCCATGGGATGCTGCTGCCCCTGGATGCCTAAGAAAATTACCAGGAGAATCTAGAAGTGCATAGCAATCCTCCCTTGCCTCAATAAAGACCCACTAAGAGGTCAAGATCCCTGAAAACTTATCCTGCCCCCCATACAGAGCACAATATAAGAGGGAGTCCAGGTGGGAGAAAGTCATGTATAGTGGACTCAGCCAAAACTCTTAATGGATCAACTACCAACTCTGGAAGTGATTCTGTATGTCCTACTTCCCATGTACCCTTCGGTCCTTGCCCTACGTCTCTTCTAGAAAACAGGAAGCTAATGCAAAAAGATTAGCTATGGTGCTTTACAATGCAACTAAAAATAACTTGAACAACCAAAGTGTTGAAACAAGCTGAAAGAGAATCTATAATGTAACCGTTTTTCTGTCCCTTGGTGATGTGAGCTGGTTTTCTTATTCCCTAGAAGAGGTGTTAAACAAATAAAAGACTACATCTGGCACACTCCACAAGTTAGGCAATTTTTTCCAACCTATGCTACAAACATTGATTTGTCAAAAATTAAACAACTCTTGAGTTAGCATGCAGGGATACTCTCATATGGGAATGTATGTTTTTGGTTTTCAGGCCTCATGCAGTTTTCTTGGTTTACTGATATATACCTTATGAAGAAATCAGGACAGCACAATTAAATAGTTACATAAATACTTACTGGCAGCTGAGACCAGCTCTTTATGAAGCCTGTAGGTCATGACGGGTTCAGAGAGATTTCTGAAATTATGGAAGGAAGACTATAAATTCCTTTTGAAAAGAAATAGGTCTTGAGTCACAGTTCCATTGGCAGCATGGCAAAAAATTTGGAGCCCCATACTTTAGTGTGATTATATGCATTTTTTCTTAACCTGAAGCTTTACAAAGGGAATACAAGTTGCTAATAATTCAATAGAAGACATACAAAAGTACAAGCTGAGGCATTTAGCAAGGTCTCCAATTAGCCCTCCAAAATGAAAGGAAGAGCAAACCAGTCCTTCAAATTTCTGAAACAGACTTATTTTGAGGGTTACCGTGCATACCTTACAATTTGATAGATCCATGGAATTTCTGAAGTGATTTTGTACCTATCCTTGCACATTTGCTCCTTACAATGATCCAGTATGATGAAACAATTACATTATTCAAGTCCCAATTTCATGCTCAAATTAGTTTCTTCATTTGGTGAAAATATATTGGCTGGTGAAAAAAACTTGTGTCTGGCATTGTGCCACATATTAGGGATCCAGAGATGAATACAAAATAATTTAAACTTCTAAGAAATTAGGAATCTTATTAAGGGCAGTACCATATACAAAATTTTCAATGTAGTGGGACAAGTGCATAAACCAAAGGTAAGTGATACAATGGCTCAGAGGAAAGAAGTAAAACCGGTAATTAAAAATAGCATACGTTCTATTGTTTTAAGTGATTTATATGTTTTAACTCATTTAAATCTCATGGAAAACTGGGGAAGTAGGTGCTATTATTATCTCCACTTATAGATAAGGAAACTAAGGCCTAGGATATGTTAAAGAACACACTCAAGAGAGAAACTGCTTCTTTGATATTTGGAATCCAGCCACTAGAATATAGCAATGTGAGAAAGGAAGGTAGGAAGTGGGTCTCAGGGATCTAGCAAGAATCTAAAGTGCAAATTAGAGCCCACAGGGAGAGAAAAGAGAGGGACCATATAGCAGAAGAGGCAGAGGGCAAGAGGTACTTGCATCTGGAGCCCAGGCTCAAGGCGTGGGAGGGCGACTTTAACTTGTAAAGGCATGTAGATTACTGGTGATCTGAGATATCTCCATGGAGAAATTAACCAATGGAACAGAGCAGTGGACACAGCAGACTGCAATAGCTGGTGAGTTATTTCGGGTTAGGATCCCCCTAAGAGAGGGCAACTGCCCAACAGCTATCTTTAACATATCCTAGGCCAACAGAAGTCAGAACTCAGAGAAGATACTAGGTTAGCTCCACCTAGTGGCTCTGGCACAACTGAGCTCAAGCAGGATGGTCAGGAAGCTGAGCTCAGGCCAGTGGGAGGCACTCAGACTGTTGCAGTCTGAAAAATTCAAGCCCCAAAGAGACAAAGAAGGTGACTACATACTTGTTAAGGAAACAATCCAAGAGGAAGCGATAACAATCATAAATATATATGCATCAAATATCAGCACAACCAACTATATAAAATAAACATTAATAGACTTGAAAAATCAAGTAAGCACTAATACAATGTAATGGGAGACCTCAATACCTCACTATCACAAATAGATCAAATACACAGAAAATCAACAAAGAATTATCACCACTGAACCGAATTTTTGAACAAATGAACTTTGTAGATGTCTATAGAGTGTTCCAGCTCATGACATCACAATACACATTCTTCTCAACCATGCATGGGACAACTCCAAAAGAGATCACATAGAACATGAATAAGCAAACATTCAGTTACAAAGTAACTGAAATTATCCCATGCATATTATCAGACAATAGTGCAATGAAATGAGAAATCAATGGCAAAAGGAACCACAAAAACTGCATAAACACATGGAATTTAAGTAACACCACCCTGAATAACCAATGAGTCACAGATGAAATTGAAAAAAACAAATCTGACAGTTTCTACAATTAAATGACAATGCCAATAAACATACCAGAACTTATGGGATACAGCGAAAGCAGCTCTATGAGGAAACTTTATAATAAATTCCCACATCAGAAAAACAGAACAAGCTCAAGTAAATAATCTAATGTTGAAACCCAAGCTTCAAGAAAAAGAAGAGCAAATAAAATTCAAAGCTCATGTGTGGGAGGAAATTGTTAAAATTAAATCAGAAGTTAATACAACTGAGACTATGGAAACAGTACAAAGAATCAATGAATCTAAGAGTTGGTTCTGTGAAAGATTAAATAAAATAGGCAAGACTACAGCCAACCTTATCAAAGAAAAGAAAGAAAAAAATCAAATCTATGTAAGTAGGAATGAAAAAAGTGAAACCATAATGGATTCTGCAGAAATTCAGATTATCAATATCTACTTACAATCTAATAAGATGGAAAACTCTAAAGAAATGGACAGATTCCTAGATACATATGAATTACCAAATCTGAAAAAAAGAAAATATAAAAGTTCTAAATAAATCTATGTCAATGAAATTGAGGATATAAGTGAAAAAAAATATCAACGAAGAAAAGACCAGGTCCTGATGAATGAATTTGTTGCTTAATTCTTTAAGAATTTAGAGAGGATCTAAATCCAGTACTCCTCAAACTCTAATGAAACTGAAAGGCAAGCAATACAGTCAAACTCACTCCAGGAAACAAGCATTACCCTGATAGCAAAACCAGAGAAGGATTCAACCAAAAAAGAGAGCTACTGGCCAGTCTCCCTAATGAACACAGATGTAAAAGTCCTCAATAAGATACTGGCAAACAGAATGCAGAAAAATTGAACAAGATTATACATTAGGACCAAGTAGGATTCAGGTGCAGGGTGAGGGTGCAGGGATGGTTCAATATATACAAATCAATAAATGTAATATCAACAGAGTGAAGGAGAGAAAACATGCTCATCACAAAAGATCTAGAAAAAGCATTTGACAATGTCCAACACATATTCATGATAAAAACCCTAAAGAAAACTGGAATAGATGGTGGTGTAGTCAGGGGTTGCAAGGACAATTACATACAGGACACAGAATTTATAATATTATTTTATGATGGTCACCCAGAGTTAAATACAAGAAAGTGCAGGAAATCTCTACATAAAACTAAAGATCTAGAAAATCCAAGCAAGTGCCTGCATTCCACAGCAATGTCCCGCATGAGTCTAGCTAAAGACTTAGAGCCCATGACAGTGCTTCCCATAATTTCAACTGGAGATCTAGAGCCCACAACAATGACTTATGTAAGTCTGTTTTATGGATCTGCATTAGGAAGGCCCAAAAGGTCAGGAGTGGAAGCTACTCTGTGCCAGTAGTTTGAGGATTCTACATTGGAGCAGAGAAGCGATGCTCAAAATAAGGATGAGGGCTCCCCCTAAAAAGTACCACAGCCATCCTTAAAGACAATGAGTCCTGAGCTCCTCTGACAATGAGGACAGTGGAGTATGTGTCAGGAAGCCAGTGTGACAAGTTTCTCCTAGAGATTAAACAGTATACATCTTCCCCTCCAGAGCCAGGAAGTGATGCTCAACGTAAGGACCAGAGGTCTCCCAAGGTGAACCACAGCAACAAGGTCCCAAGCTCCACCAGTGATAATGGCTGAGTTCATATCAGGGAAGCTAGCCATGACAAGCTCCTCCAGGAGAACCAACAGCTCCAAACAACAACACAGGAGAATGCACAATGCCACAGTCTTTCTCTCCACGTCTCCTTTTATGCTGTCAACTTTCTTCACGTGGGCCATCTATACACAGCACCATGCTGATTTAATTCAGCTGGTGTTAAGTTTACCACCAGTTTTTAATCCATAACAGGTGGTATTTATCTCAATTTGATAAAAGTCATCTATGACAAACCAAAAGCCAACAACATGCTGAATGGTCAAAAACTGAAAGTTTTCACTCTAAAATCAGGAACAACACAAGGATGTCCACTACAAACACTTATTCAACATAGTTCTGCAAACATTAGCTAGAACAATAAGACAAGAAAAAGAAATAAAAAGGATAGGAAAGAAAAAAGTTAAATTATCATTATCTGCAAATGGCATAATACCCTATATAGGGGACCTCAAAAATCCCCCCCAAAAAAACTTCTAGATTTAATAACCAAATTCTGTACTGTAGCTGGGTACAAAGTTCATGCACAAAAATAAGTAGCAATCCTATACACAAATAACAAACTCATGGAGAGAGAAATTAGAAAAACTACACGTTTCAAAATAGCATCAATAAAAATGAAATACTTAGGAATCAATCTAACAATACAAGTGAAAGACCTAAACACTTGAAACTACAGTACTCTGAAAAAGAAGATTGAAGAGGATGTTTGAAAATGGAAAAGTATCCCTTCTTTTTGGGTAGGGAGAACGAACATAGTGAAAATGGCCATGCTCCCAAAATTGTTACACATATTTAATGTAATCTCAATCAAAATACTAATAGTGCACCTTACAGAAATAGAAAAACAATCCTTAAATTAATTTGAAACTACAAGACACCTAGAATAACAAAAGCAATTCTGGGCAACAAGGGCAAGACAGGGGGCATCACACTTCAGATTTGAAATTATGCAAGAAAGCTACTGCAATAAAAACAGCATGGTTCTGATTTTTAAAAAAGACCTGAGAATCAATGCAAGAGACCGGAAGATGCAGAAACAACTTCAAGAACACTCAGTTACCTTATGCTTGACAAAGGGACCAACCACATTCACTGGATAAAAGATAGCTTCTTTTAATAAATAGTGCTGGAAAAACTGCTTTCCACATGCCAAAGACTAAAAGTAGACCCATGTCTCTCATCATGCACTACACTAAAATTGAAATGGATCAGAAGGCTAAATATTAAAAGAGAAACACAAAATCTTCTGGAAGATAGAATAAGTAAAACTCTTGAAGACACAGGTATAAGCAAAGATGTTATGAACAAAACCCCAAAGGAAAAGGAAATATCACAAATAATTAACAACTGGGATCTCATTTTACTAAAAAGCTTTTGCACAGTAAAAGACACTACCAACAGATTGAAGAGACAACACACATAGTGGTAAAATTCTTTTGCTAGCTGCTCA